TCCTCCTTTTCTCTTCTCCTCCTACTTCGTCGTCTTCTTCTTCTTTATTCTTCTTCTGTTATATTTGATGTTTATGTATTTAGATCGCCGCTTGTGGTTTCCCCACCGCCGATATCAATCATTAAAAGGAAATGTTTATTCTTCATTTCCAACTATAACAGCAAACGTTGTTTGCAAAGAATTACTATATAATATAGGGACAGCCTCCAGAAACATTCCCCCTATTTTCTATTATTTCTTTAATAAATTAAAAAAATGTTTTTCTTCGTTTCTTTGGGTAATTTTTGTATCGCAGTTGCGAGACAATATCCTAAATATTTATAAATTTTAAAAGAGTTGTATCGTTTTTTTAAAACATTTTATTAAGGTGCATTATTTCTGAAATCTGAGACAAGAAAATAATAATGATGATAATAATAATAATAATAATAACTGATAATAATGATAATAATAATGGTAATAATAATTTGATAATAATTATAAGTGACAAATAATGAGGCTAACTTGTTCAGGGGCACGCTTCTACTAATTTTGACAAAATATATCAGATCTGGAGGCTGGGGCACCCCCCCCCCCCCCCCAACCACCACCGAACACCACTCCACATTTCGATCTTTATTATTAGCCTAGCTACATCACCTCCAATGAATTTGAATTTACACCCAATCATATTCAACGTTCATGTCATGTGTGTGTCTGCCTTTCGAGTCAACCGGGAGCAACGATGGGCGTGGCATTGTAATTCATAAGGGGGCGCGGCATCATGTCATGAACTGAGCAGGGGGTACTGACTGGGAGAGATTTAGTCTATTCCCATTATGCCCCCAGGCTAAACCACGAGGGGCGAGAATAATCGGATGGACCCCCTGGATCCCGTCACGCACCATTGATTAAACGATTTGTTATTTGTAAAACTTGTTATAGCAATAACTTTAATACTTCTGTTATAAGCCTGTGACTGATTAATACGATCCAAGTGATTCAAGAGATATTTCGTGCTAAATGATATGAATGCTGAACTTTCTAATTAAGTTCAAGCCAGATAGATCGCGAGGGTTTATAGGCTACTCAAAGGAATTAACATTCATTGATCATTATATTGGTTTGATTAGTTTGTTAATTACACCCATCCCCACCCCCTCCCCCAACCCCCACCACCACCACCACCCTTCAATCACGACCAGGGACGAATCGTTATCGTCATGCAGCAGGGGTAGTTGTTTTACATGACTAGCCTACACGGATATGTATCAATTTGCAATAGCGTCACTTGCATGATCAGTATAGGCCGAGATATGATCGAGTTCCACGCATGTTGTCCGACTGTGATACGGCACTTTTGTACCCGATGATAGACAATTTATGCGACAGGAATGGACAGGTGAATAGCTCAATAGCTATTTGAGTGTCAATAATCATGCATCAGCATCGTGCCGATGACTCGCGGCAAAAATGACGATTGAGGCGCCAATAATAGTCTTTATCAATGACTAAGTGTTCATTGCATAATCCATTATTTTACATCAGTTTTAACAGCGTCCTAACTAAACTGGGAGATCAGTTCGATTTGATTATCATTGTTCCCAGTCACTTCTAAGATCAACGATTTGTTTTTTTTTCGTTCTGTCTCGGACTCAAAGCATCATCATAATCACGGCGTTATTTTTATTTACACCACAAGCATTGAATGTAGACCATGTAATCTTGCACGCGGAAGCGAACACGCGCGACCGTATCGCTGATGACTCATACTGGTTGCTTAGCAACTGCTACGTCAGACCAATAGTCCGTATACGTAGAAAAGTGAGTCGCGGTCGAAGGGTATGTGGAAACTCCGCGGATAGATGGCGCGCAGAGTTAGACCTTTGGTCGGGGCTGCATAAGGCAACACAAATAAACGCCGGCAGATTGAAACGTCATCGACAGTAGGCTCTATAAACTTCCGTTCAATGGAAGGTGATAAGAAAGGCAGATTAGCGAATAATATGGTTGAACCATATCGTGATACAGCACGGTTTTGACAGGGACTAATGCATGACCATAGTTTGTATGCCTAGCCTGGTTACAAATCCGCGACGACCACGCCCACTTAGCTCGTCATCAGACGATCGATAGCTAGGCTCAGTGTTACACTGATTATTTTATTCAAATAAAATATATTACTTTGGAATTAAAATTTGAACGTTAATTATGTAAGTAACGGCACTTTTTATGACAAACAATCATGTATCACGGCGAACCTGTTCAAAAAACTATAAAACAATAATAAAATACATCCCAATACTGTATGCCATAATGTTGGTATACGTTGTACCTTGTTTTGAGATCATTCTTACAGTTTTATTTCCGTTTGTAAGTTTTTGAGCTCTGCTCTGCATGGATCATTAATTTTGTCACATTCCTAATGGCTTATTAGTTATGGACCAGTAGGTTAAAAGAATTCATTCAAAAGGACGCGAAAAAACCATATGAGTAACGATGTGCAAACACAAAAGGATGTCCCGAGAGGCTCGAGAGCCAACCCTAAAACATTATTTCCCTGCTCTATGGGGGGGGGGGGGGGGGTCTCAATGGAATGAATCAAGAATGAAAAAAAATGTTGCCTCGTCATATAATAAACTCTATGAACATGTTGAAAATGATACATGATGGTATCAGGATGTATGGGTGCCATTGGGTGGAATCAAACGCAGTGGATCTATCACGGTCATTTTGAGGAAGCTTAGCGATCGGAGAATCCCACCGCACCCCTCCCCTGAATTGAAAAGAGAGAAATTCCACGATCCCAGATTACAAGTCATAAAGCTACTTTTTAAATAGTAAAATACATAATTATCCATGATTTTCCTACCAATAGACCCGCCTTTTGATTTCATTATTGCAATCAATATAATGTCTGCAACAGTAGTTCAACAGAATACTAAACAAAATAGGTGGGTTTATCATTCAATGACAATCCTTACTATTTCAGTATCTAAAAATGATTGGATATATCGAACCAGGGCCCCATTGCATAAAACTTACCACTGATGGTAACTTTACTTTCAATGTTAACTACCGTGGCAACATTACTCAACAGCCAATCAAATCAAGATTTCTATGAAAGTTATAATTAATAGCAAAGTTTCCATCAGTGCTAATGTTTATGCAAAGGGACCCTTGTTTCGCTTTTCCAATGTATCAACTCCTTTGGTGGCGGATTCGAGGGGGCCATTACAAGCCCGAGCCCCATCATGCGCATCCCAATCTGGCGTGGTCCTTTGTTGGTGTCAACGGCAAAAAGTGTAAACTAATATCTGAAAGAAATCATTGTAAATCAGAACATCTGCCGTTTTCATTAATCCTTTCCCCTACCATTCAAATAACCAATACCATTGTGTCCTCAATTAGGCGCGTACGCAGGGGGGGGGGGGGTTAAACCCCCTCGTTTTTTTTTTTTTTTTTTTTGCTCAAGGGGGGGGGTGGTGAGTAAAAACAAAATAGTGCTCCTTAATCAGTTAATCTCAATTTACTTTTGCTTTTTTGTATTGTTCTATGTGTTTGTTTCGATGATAAATCTTCATTATCAGGATTATATCAATAACTGAATTGAATTTGAATTTCAAACAAATTGTATCAATACATATTTTGATGATGACAATATTATTATTATTATTTGTCATTCCTTTTATCCCTCTTCCTGCCTATTTCTATGCTGCCTTTGTCCCTCTATGGTAATCAACCGTTCTGTAGGAGTTTTCAGTTGTCATATAATAACAAAGTAGGTTTCTCTCGACCTACTCCTCCATGCAATGGTTTAGCTACCTGGGGCAGGGGGCTTGTGCCTCTCCCCATCCCATCGAAAGGCTGGGAAAGAAAAGGTAAAGACAGAAAGAAAATGTGTATAGGGAAACGTTATAATATGGAAAACGATATAGCCTCTCCTGTAACAACCTCCTAATCGGTGGTCTTGTAATTGTATTTCTTCCACTTAAAGTAAGACCAGTAAACGTCACCCGCCCCCCCCCCCCCTCTGATCCCAGTGCCCCTCATAGGCTGGGTTCCCGATTTGCCACTGCTCCATACACATTTTGCAGATAGAGATAAAACAAAGATTTTGTAATTATCCTTTAACTGTTATGATCAATAAAAGTGGCCCGCCCGGCCATGCATGATAATCTACACAATCTTTCTCATGTTATCAAAAGTTAAAACACCCCCTTTCTTTTAAAAACTCATATTTATTTAACAGATTGAAATTAGGGATTACAAATATTGGAAATCTTCAGAATGAAATACTGTAAGTATGATCAACAATGTTATTTGCGGATACAAAATACAGCGCATCAGCTATAATTATGTCAGCTGAAAATTACTTTCAGTTTCTGCTTGGGGCAAATAAGCCTAACAATAAGTTGATATTATGTCAGCAAATAGCGATTTTCACATCAGTTTAAAGTCATGCAAACGTGATAGTCTTCATCATCACTCATTTCCTTCTCTTGAATACACCATAAAAACCAATGTCCAACCGTCCGAACATATTCATTAATCAATCTCTCTTCAATAATTAAGTTTCCCACCATTATACAATTTTAACATTTTTTGAAAAACACATTGTCAAGTTTTTAATATTCACTTACGATTGTGTGCGCCTCATGCCTGGATTATCTTTTGAGGCATTGAATACCATTAAATCACCATAATCGGATATTATACATTCGTCCAGTGTGTAAAGAGAGAGGGAGAGAGAGAGAGAGAAAGAGAAAGAGAGAGAGAGAGAGAGAGAGAGAGAGAGAGAGAGAGAGAGAGAGAGAGAGAGAGAAGCGGAAATAAAGGAAACGGACGTTGTTTCTCTCTTTCCCTAATCTTTCTACCACTTTCCTTATAAATTATTTTTCCCAAATCGCAATCCCTGAATCTCGCTATAGTGAAGATTTAACCACGCGTGCAATATTGTTCGAATCTCTTTCTGCTCCACTCACACATATTTTGTTTAGTTTCGAACTTATACAATTGGCAACATAGTGCTTTCATTTCTGTCTGCGTAGTAGATTGAAGTACACGTAGATTCACAATAATATTCACTGCAAAGTTTGTACTACATTACTATTCTCGTCGTTTTTGCGGTAGCGGCTGCACACACCCACTTTGGATTCATATTGTTAAACGCTTCCGTATCTACATAAAACACGTTTACCAGCTTGCCTTCTTGTTCTCCTCTGGATTTTGGTTGTACCCGTGGATTATAATAATGGCTGAACAGGGTGACAAGCGTCCCGAACTCCCAGAAAACTTTGAGCAGTTGAACGATTCGGAGAAGATGTTCTATACAAATCTTCACAGGTGGGACTTGGTTGAAAATGCCAAGTTTGCTGAAATGACGGAGAGATATGAAGGTAATTGCCCATACGTGAACTTTCACAAACTGAATACGAGTGTGTGTTTTTTTTCTAAAGAAATTGCTGTGAAATTAGACTCGGGACTTCAAATCGTGAATTCTTCCCGACTGTACTCCCGATTCGTTTAAAGAATCATGTGAAGATTACGTTATGGTGGGGGCTCGATCCTTTCCCTGTGGGGATTGGCTTTCAGTAGTGACGTCACTAGCTTCACGACTCATGTGGCTTCTATAACTTGTATCCAATAAAATAAGGCCTTACCTCCAATCTAAAGGCTTTAAGAGATCGGTATTCATAATTGAATTAATCATTCAGAACCTCTGTCGGATGCAATTACATATTTTAAATTCTATATCAGAATGGGCGTATTTAGCAATATGCCTATTTTTCAAATCCAATTATACAGTCGGGTCCTACTGCGCAGCGAGCAGTGACATTTTCAGTTAACTGTAATATTGAGTGTTTTTTTTTTCTCGCTAGATCCCCCCCCCCCCCCCCCCTCTTCTCATACGTAAAACTATTTGTTGATACTCTGATTCACATAGTTGCAATCCCTTTTTTATCACTACATCGTCAACTTTTCTGGTTCCCTCATTAGGGCGCCACCACTAGCTAAATTATACCCCTATCACCACCACTGCCACCACCACCACCACCACCACCACTACCACCACCACCACCACCACCACCACCAATATCATCATCATGCATCATCACCACCACCATTATTGCCATAACACCGTCACTAACACCAGACACCTTCATACATCTATCATCAGCGTACATCACTATCAGCATTACCACCACCATCACTACCACCACCACCATCATCGTCATCATCACCACCACCTTCACCACAAGCAACATCGGTATACCACCATCACCACCACCATCAAATGTTCATTACACCTCGACCAGCACCTTACCAACCGCATTATACACCTACCATCGCCATCATTTTCATCATTGCCCACACCACCTCCATAATACATATATTATCAACACCACCACTAATACCATTATCAGCAACATGCATATAATGCACCACCATCATGATCACCTCCACCACCACCTGGCACCACCCAAACCGCTATCAGCATGATCAACAATCATCACCAACACCACAATCACCAGTTCACCACCAAAGCATCGGTACCACTATCCGTTACAACCATCACAATTATAATCATCACCTAATACCACCACCATCATCATCACCACCGCCGCCACCACTTTCACCATCACCAACATATTCATTACATTATCACCACCTCTTAACACCATCATTGCCATCACCAACTACTATCACAACCATTGCAGACACCACTGAATATTATGGCACCAGTACTTTTACGTCTACTACTACCATGTACCACATACACCACCACTATTTAATCCACTATGCACCAACACCGACAAACATCCTAACACAATGGATATGCATGAACTTCATTTACAAGGCTCATAATGCATTACCATTATCATGTGGTATAATTGAATGAGCCGTCCTGTAGTAACTCATTTATTAGTAGTTTCAGTCAGCTCTTGTAGTACATCCTCAGTGGTAAAGAAATCCTTTCCCGAAACAAGGAAATCCGACCACCGGTTGATATGCAAATCAGTGCAGAGTCGTTCGATACCAAAACTCACATTAACTTCAAAACCAAAGCTTGATTGTATAGCTTGTGACATGCGCAACGTGTGAAAGTGATATTGAGAATTGGTCAATACTTGTTCAACCCTGTTTCCGGTCTTTTTCATTATTATCTTCTCTTCTTCTCCATCATGCAACATTGTCATGCAACACTGAGTTATTTTCTGTCTTTTGTGAAAAATCACGGTCGTAAAGACATTAAAAGAACTCAACCTAAGGCAGTTGCAATAGCTCTGTGCATTACCTTGTGAAAAGTGCGAGCATTACAATTCAGTAATAATAATAATAATAGCTAGTTCTTATATAGCGCTTTTCAAGACCGAAGGCCCTCCTCAAAGCGCTTTACAGATATATATATATATTATTACCCCGGTCATAGGATTCAGGCTTACCCGCACACAATGTATGCACATTCTCCACTCCCTGGGGAGCATTCCAGCCAGGCGTCTTTTTTACGAGCGCACACTTGCTAATCTAACCACATTAGCTTTCGCATCCTACCGGGTACCCATTTAACACCTGGGTGGAGAGTGGCAAATGTAGATCAATGTCTTGCCAAAGGACATTAGTGCCGCGGTGGGACTTGAACCGCGAACCTTGTGATCCACAGTCCGGTGACATATCCACTCGTCCACGACACCTCAGTATTATACATTATCCGTCTATATTATACTGTATACCAATTGGTGTATTAATTTTCTGTAGATAAAATTACATTTTCACCGTCAAAGTTTAGAAATGTTCTCGCTTGTTTAGCTCACTCGCAAGATTTTGCGACATAACTTTGCCTCCCCTACTGTGCTGATAAGATCAACTGATATCTTGTTTAAATTTATCAAAATTATATATTTCCATATTGTGTGCTCGACAAGATTAGTATACGTTGAAATTTTGCATTCATTTCTTTAAAAAAAAGTTGTTGGTTTCTTAAACTGTTCTTGAGCAACAACAGATGCGGTTTTAAGGAGTGTTTAGGAGCTCAACCCCCACCCTCCAACAAAAATTGTTTTCATGAAAGGTCATTTTCAAAAATTGTCATTTTGATAATAGAAAGGACATGCTTTTATTATTCATATTTTCACAAAGTCTTAACTTGTCTTCTATTTTTTAAAAGGTTTAAGGAGGTATTTAAAAAGTAAAATTTAAGCGGATAAAATGAAACCAAGGGCAGGATGAATAATGCTACATCTCCACATTTTTTTTTAAAGTAGAAGAAAAAAAACATGTGTCCATCCTCGGCATCTTGCAATAAAAGGTGCCCTTTGTAAATCAACAAAATGTTCCCAGACCCTTTTGAGACCCCTTTTTTCTACCAGAACTCAACTGTCCTTACAGTTATTCCGCAATCCACCAAGTCTGTATATTATAGGCTCACTTTTTAACAAAAAAAGTGAGCCTATATAAACATTTTCTTTTTCTTTTTTTTAATTATGTGTTTATTAAGAAATCAAAACAAAACATATACTAACTTTCGAAGGAAATACAAATGTGTTACAAAAAACAAAACAAAAAATTTAATGACAAATTAAGATATTTACAAACGATTGAAATAATCTGGACAAAAAAGTTTTATGTGTTGCGTTTCTGTTTTAGTGAGTGCGAGAGAGAGAGAGAGAGAGAGAGAGAGAGAGAGAGAGAGAGAGAGAGAGAGAGAAGGTAGGGGATTTGGAAGTAATAGTGACATCAATGCCCAAATATGTGCATGCATGCGGATCTAAACCACAAAACAAGCATACAATCACAATGACGAATCCAGCATAGTTACAATATGACTGAATCATTACAAATCAACTGAACCGCTACTTTGTGGCTGAATTGAAATTTTAGGTAATCTGACTTAACTACAGTGGCGTGACTATACATATGCCCTCCTATACCAAACGGTTTTTTAAAGGTAAAGACCAGTTATGGTCATGCGATTGCATTGTGAAAGAAACGTTGTGGAATCGATCAGAAAAGGTTGATCATCTAGCATGTAGCATCTGCAAGGTTCTGGAATCATCAAAATGATAAGAAATTTGGCCCATTCTTCGTAAAGTTACAAGCACTATACACAGAAAGATGTATAGGGGACTATACTATATCTCTCACAGACCATGAGAGAAACAAATTTACCAAATATATGAATTAGTAGGCGGTTTCCCGGCAAATTTTTTATCATCATGTATTAGTCAAAACATATTCTTTCACATGATTGGTAATGAGAGCTTCCATTTCATTTTTTGAAATTGGGGCGTTTCCAATACTGGTCTTTACCTTTAAAGGGAAAGTAAGATTTATAACATAAATGAAAGGGAGATGGAGAGGGCGAGAGAGAGAGAGAGAGAGAGAGAGAGAGAGAGAGAGAGAGAGAGAGAAAGAGAGACAGACAGAGAGGCAGAGAAAGAAGATGGGGAAGATATAGGAAAGGCGCGTGAGCAGAATAAGTTCCCTCATTATTTTTTACTCCCTTGATTGGTGGCTTTGAATGTCAATCGGCTACCAAGTAAGAAGGGTGCCCCGCCCTTTCCCAAGTGCCCCATCAATGGCTGGATCGAAGCTACACCACTGACTAAACACAGAACATGACTGTGCATGCAGGGCGCTACAGATTTATGGTTGTTATTTATTTGTTTTTATTTGTTAATAATGATAACAAAAGTTTGAGTAAACATCACTTGCTACGCTTTAAAAACAAATTGTTTATGTTTCTTTTTTTTTCAATCTCATTTTTCAACTAACGGTGGTAATACTTCATTTTCAATATTTTGCCAGAAATTCCTTTTTTTTCAACCCGGGAAGGGGGGGGGGGGGTTGTCCCACTACACTGACCGACACGGTAATCAAAAACTTTTCATTAAGCTAAAAATAAACAAACAAACAAACAATACAACTCAAGGTCCACCATCATATTCTAAAATCTGCCAACATTGCATCGTCTTTTCTGAATTTCAAGCTTTAGGAAGAACAGGAAGACTCTGAATAGAGCAATTTAGCGGTATTCTTTTCTAATCAAACCAAATCAAACCAAACAGAGTTGCTATTCTTAAGTATACTATACAGGGGAGAGCGGGGTTAGTCCGGCGCCCTGGGGGCAAGTCCGCCCACTACGTGGTTCTCAGCCTTGCGGTGATTGGATAAAACTTTCGCTGATGATGTAATGACAAACTATAGGCGGTTTAATCTGGAACGTGGAGTGCGAAAGTGCTCGGCAGTCTTTCTGGTGCCTTCGTCAGTTGAAAGATCTGTTCAATAGTTCGATCAATAACTAAATTTGTAACATGTATCTTATATTTTGTTTGATTATTATTTAAACAAAGTATCGTTTTATATTGTAATATTTGTATCATGTAAAATATGGAAA